GAGTAGTCAAGAGGAGAAGAGATGAGTTTTGAAAAGGGACTGGAATACTGTAAGGGTCTCAGAATAGCGGAGATCTTTAGATCGATATGTTCAAAACGTTTTTTTTCAAAATGTAAAAAAAATGCCTGAAATTATAAATAGTGAAAAATTAAAAATAAAATATTTCTAGTGTGAACCAAAATATAATACTAAATATTATACACGTGATTTCTCTGAACCAAAATGACAAAAATAGCATGAAAACACATATTATTCTAATACGGGTCCTTTTTGGGTCCAGCCACTCTAAGGGCATCGAAGGGTTAAGTAAAGTGTTTTGAGCTGAAACCCATGTTTCTCTTTTTAATAACAAGTGCCTACTGAAGGTAAGTATGTAGCAACATTTAAAATGTCAGACTATTGCTTACCTTATCAAACAGCTCCTTCGGTGGGATCTGGAGGCAGCCGCAGTTTACCACCTTGACATTTGTTTTGGTCCAACAGCACTACGCCCAAAGGTCACAGGCTCATAATGGCTGTTTACTGCTGTGAAAATACATATAGTTGAAATGCCATGACATTATTATCGCAGTATTTCATCAGCCGCTGTCATTTTTACCAACTGAACGTCCGTTAATGTGAAACACTGATCGGGGCCCAGGACTAACGCTCAGACAGATTTACGATGGTTGGTGATGGATGAACCGAGGAGCCGCAGAATACTCATTTAAGTTTAATAAGTCCTCCGAGGTTATACATTAAACACATGTTAATCCATCTGACTCTTAGCCGAGCTGCCACTAATGGTGACCATGAGCATAATGAGAATACTGCAGGGAGGACGTCTTTAAATAAAAGATCACAATAATATTCCTCCATTTTAAACTCTTAGTCATAGATGTAGCTGTCATTGTAATTATTGCATTCTTTCTATATATGGATTGTTGTTATGTGAAGTAGTACAATGCACACAGCTTGATATTAATATCATACAATAATCTTTTACATTTTTCGTACAACTTTTCTATAATTTCTGTAAATGAGAAACTGTACTTATATACAATCAAATTTGTTTTTTCGTTGCATCTTAAGCACATGTATTTAAGAAAATGGCCAATAGTAGCAACAGAATTTCATAATTATCATTGAGTATCAGAATTGGTTTGGATTTCTGTATAACTCAACTTTGACTGGATATGCTTTTACAATAAGCACCATCATTTGGAATAAAAATAAATAACGATAGCCGTTCAACATAGTTTAAAGTTTGGGGTAATTCACATGTGCTGCTGAGACATTTCCCCTTTGTTTGCAGTCTTTATGCTAAGCTGAGCTAATCGACTGGAGACACTGATTCTGAAGAACACGTGTGATGTTTAAACATTATGCCTAAACTTATTATTACTAAGTATGTTCAAGACTAAAGTTGCCCCTTCTGTTTCGCTTACATGACACAAAGCTACGAGGATGTGTCGTTTGAATCCACAGGGGAATATCAATGAAAATCCTGTCTTTTGAATAAAGCTTAAGGCTAGATTTCCTGTCATTATTTGAATTTAAAATGCAGCCGTAATAGCTTCTCAGTAGCAGTAGACACAGCACCCTACTGTGAGCGCTGTCTCTTCCTAAAAGTCTCTATCAGAGGCATTCAACGTCACTTCACCCGCACAGCTGCACCATAGAGAAGACTTTCACACAAAATGCAACGGATGCACTGCAGTCCGTCTGTCTATCCCTCCTCCTCCTGGTTTTCTTAATACTCCCGATTGACCCAAGAACACCCCGCAGAATGAGCCCCGTCAATACGGGGCTTTCATCTCGGTCCGGTGGAGACACAGGGCTGCTCTGTTGTGCTTTTGGTCGGGAGTTAACAGGACCTTTGAGCCAAATCGACCGTCTCCAGGAAATTGGCCGAAGACGAGTCTCGCCCCCTGAGAGGAAGAGCTGTCTACAGATTATTCAAAATGTGTGGAGGAGGGATTGAATCAGTGCTGTCACTGGGAGTCCTCTGTGGAGCTGTGATTGATTTGGCAGAAAACTAATTGCAAATGACATCACTTTAATTATCATTTGTGGACTTTTGGTGCAATCTTTTTTCCGTCAGAATTGAAGCTTGTATGGAAGCACAGACCAGGAGCTAATCCTCCATACTATGTTTACTTTTGCACCATCAAATATAATTACATCTTGGATTTGAGAAATGCATTGCTTCCTTTTTGGGTCTTCTGAGTCACTGAGCTATGACCCGTCCTTTTTTTTAATCGAGGAAAAAGTGCAGTAAGCCAGGGTCGTGCTGTAAAGTATTTTTAAAAGCAGGGAGTTTTTTTGGCAGAATATCAAAGGCAGAATCCGAGGGACGACTGCGTCTCACATCAAGTCTTTTTTTGACCCCGAGCTGCTTCTCAAAGATGTGGTTAAATAATGTTATAAGCAGACAAACAGCTGGATGTCCTGCAGAGACAACAGCCACTAAAACTCTTTAAGAGGAACTCCAGTTAATAATCCAGTTTTAGTTATTGCTTGGCTGTCAGGCTGCTTCTCTGTGTGTGTTTTTATGTTGCTAATGATTCAAAATGCGTTCTCTGATTATGTTCTGTGCTCCTGAAGGTTCTGCTCGTATATATATCGCAGTTTGTGTTTCTCAGTAGATGTAAACCAAACAAAACATAATGAGATTGGGTGTTTTTTAGTCTGTCTGCGTCATTTGCATATTGGCAGAAACAAACAAAACATTACCAGACCTCTCCGGTTTGCATTTTAATGTTGCCCTTTGAAACGCTGTCCTATATTTATATGCAGGTGTTTTTACAATGAGGAGAAATGCATCTTTGTTTTTGTTTCTTAGCTCAAGGGGAAACTAATTTTCTCCATGTTGTGTTTTGGCAATACCTGTCAGTTTCTGTTATTCCTCCTTCCTGTCTATCTTTAGATTACCTGGAGTTAAACTCGGGTAAACATTCAGCGCGAATATCACTTCATTTCATTTGTATTTGTTCCGTTCATGGTGTGCACAACTTAATGTATAACAATTATTTACAAAACCGTTCCCCAAAAGGAGCGGGGAGAAGAAAATAATCTTATATTACCTGCCCCTTTCTCCCAAAAGCCTGTCCTTCATATTTTCTTATTCACAGCCAATCATAACAGTGCCGTAGGAAAATAAGAGAAACACAACAACTTAGAAAAATAAAATACTTAGTTCCCACTTGACAGTTAACGGAAAGAAACAAAACACCTGCATGTGTGAGTTTCCCCTTGTTAGAAAAATATCTCTGGTCCCCGGCTTGATCTTCAATCTCAGGATCCATGTATTTCTGATGCTCTCCAGAATGGAAGTAGTCATCACATACAGAGCATCAGCTAGTTCCTGAACAGTGTCCTTCACATGCTGATACAAGAGAGGGAGTTACACAGTCACAAGATGGATGCCGGTTCTGTCATGTACAAAATACCTTTTCTCAAAATGTTGGCTTTTTTCAGAAAATATCAAAATTCACACTTTTATTCAAAATATCAAAATCCTAACTTTTTTCTCAAAATCTCAAAATTCAGACTTTTTACTCAAAATCTCAAAATTCGGACTTTTTTCTCAAAATCTCAAAATTCGGACTTTCTCTCAAAATTCTGACTTTTTTCTGAAAATTCTGACTTTCTCAAAATCTCAAAATTCGGACTTTTCCTGAATACTTAAACATGTTAATAATCCCTGGTCCCCGGCTTGAGCTTGAATCTCAGGATCCATGTATCTGTGATCCTCTCCAGAATGGAAGTAGTCATCACATACAGAGCATCAGCTAGTTCCTGAACAGTGTCCTTCACATGCTGATATCCAAGAGAGGGAGTTACACAGTCACAAGATGGAGGAATAGAAAGCAGTATTCAATGTTTACTTCAGATTAGCTCCACGTCAGAAATGTGTGAGTTTCCCCTTGTTAGAAAAATATCTCTGGTCCCCGGCTTGAGCTTCAATCTCAGGATCCATGTATCTGTGACCCTCTCCAGAATGGAAGTAGTCATCACATACAGAGCATCAACTAGTTCCTGAACAGTGTCCTTCACATGCTGATATCCAAGAGAGGGAGTTACACAGTCACAAGATGGAGGAATAGAAAGCAGTATTCAATGTTTACTTCAGATTAGCTCCACGTCAGAAATGATCATGCTATCATATGCCTCAAACAGTCCTGATGCTCTTCTAGGTAATCACACATCCTGTCATGTTCACAGCTACAGTTGGGATACCTTTGTTAGCACATGGACTCTGATTTTGTTCAGTATTTTCCCCCTAAATTGCACTTTGTTTCTACCCCTCTCCTCATCCTCTGTTTCTCTTTGTTGCAGCTGACAAATTTGACGGAGATCCACGATCAGATCAGCGGGATGGCTCGGTGTCCGTACAACCCGC